CTGAAAACCGTAGACTCATAATTTCACAGATTGGAAAATATTTATTACAGATTACAGGTGGGATTTGTTTGATTCTGCTATTCAATCAATATTTGTATGAAGAGATAATTGGGCTGATGAGACTATGAAATGTGTTCTATTTAAATAATTGATTTAGCTTTAAAATATATTCAAGTGGTAGGAAAGCATGGTGGTTTAGATCTGCTCTTCTTTCATAATAAAGTTACATTTTATACAATAAAGAATATTAAGTCTTATTATAAATGTTACCAAAGACGGTGTGTGAGGTTTACTTGAATGCAGTATTTTTAGCTACTCTGTATTTGAAGGCCAAGTGATATTTGTAAGTAACGTAAAAACTATTCACATGAAGAAAAGTGTTTTTTTATGTTGGAAGAAACTCCAAGTTATTGCAAGACGTTTGATTAGTATTCATGGCATAAAAGGAAGTTATTTTCAGGGTAAAGGAATTTGTGAAAAGATAATTGGTTAGACCAACATTCTCATTAACCAGATTTGCATTAAATGTGCTACTGTGAATTGTAGTTACTGCTTTTCCATTTGAAAGGCATGCTTTGTTAACTTATTTAAAGAGCCTAGTTAAGCTACAGTTTAAGTCATACCCTTTAATTTGGCAATACAATATCAAACTGAGGATCTCTTATTAGCAACTTTGTGAGTAGAGAATCATAAACCAGTTCTTGGTCCCAGTGGATTTTCCTGATGAAGTAGGTTTGTTTAGCTGCTTTACATCTAGTCATTCGCAGATACTGAAAGCATTTGACTAATCCTTTAGTTTAATTTTACTCCTTTACAAGAGCAGAGGAAACTCTTTATTTCCTCTGTGACACAGCATGAGAAATAAATGAAGGAGTCTTGGGGATATTGGAAGAAAATACTTATGCCTTTGTTTAATAGTATGAAGACTTTAAGGATTGCTTGGTTTAATTATTTTTCAATAAAACTTCTTTACATATGTAACTAAATTGAGCCTTTAAAATATGAGCTGTTAAAACAAATTAATTTGCACATTTTTGTACCCATTTTAAAATGATGACACTGAAGAATGAATTTGGATTTCTTTAACTTTCAGCGTTAATTATTACTTACTAGCAGTATTCTAGATATTTTGAAACAGATTTACTGTTGTGCTGTGTGCAATGAAGAGGAAGGCACCTTTATCAGCAGTAAGTCAGCTGTGAGTGCTCAAATTAAGTATTTGCATCTGCGGATAGATACATAAAGACAGATTCTTATTTTTCCATACTGCTGAGCATACCTAGCCATCATGGAACCTGGTGTTTGTGAATTATATGAACTAAACATTTATAAAATTAGGCTTCTTCTTAGATATCAAAATGTTAATTTCAGTGCTTAATTTTAGTTATTTGCACTTGTACTGTTTGACACTGGATGTTTTCAAAATAGTAATATCTGGAGGCATTGAATGTAAACCAAAGCCTAGCTGATCAGGCAAGGTTGTATGTCAGCCCAATAATGCTGAACAATGTTGGGTAAACCTGATGAAAACAGGGAGATGCAAATTCAAGCTGGACATGGTAATGGTCATAAATATCTGTATAAATACTCAGTGAGAAGGTCACTTTCTTGCTAGAATGGTTCTGAAGATGACGACGATGGACATGCCAGGTACACAGTGTGATTAGTATATGACTACATTGCATACCCAGTGAGCATACATGAAATGCAATCAATTAGAAATGCACTTTAGATATAACAAGAAAAAATCATGGCCAATAAATTTTACATTCCAGCTTGAAGATGGTTAGGTCTCCCTTTTTTTATTGTTTGGCAAAGAAATATGCTAATTGCTATGCCATTTTGCTGCTTATTCATTCTGTTTGCAAAACAGAAGCTGGCTGATGGTTGCACTGTTGAGTAAAATTGCTGCAAGGCTGAACTCCCCTATGTTTTGGGACAGGCAGACAATGGAAAAGAAGCCAATTTGGGGGACAGCACATTGTATGTTTGGATTTTGTTTGCAGGATTCAGGGCATGATTCAGGAATTGTCAAAGGTATGAATGGCTGTTGGGATATTGAGAGCCAAATGGAAGTTAGATGTTCAGTTGTTGGTAATGCCATTGAAAACTTCCTCTAGCGCATTCATTCTCTATTAGATGTTGGGAAAGAACGAGTTGTTGCTTCTCAACTAACTGCTGGTCTAAATCCTCGTGACTTATAGTTGATCTGCAATTCTTGGGATCAAATTTCATCTCCTTCATGCAATAAGTCAGCATTTTTTTTCCCTCCAATAGAGCTCCTGAAGCAGTTATTTGTTCTCAAACTGCATGCTCTAAGAAGGCATATGTCCCACACTCTGCATCAGCAACATCTTTGCTTTATGTTACTCAAGACCTTTGGCCATCATCTTGCAACCCTCATCTTTCATGGTTCCTCTGTCACAGACCTTACTAATGTTTTTTGAGTTCCTGGAATTCTTGTGTGCTTTTTCAGTGAATAAATTTATAGGACTGTCTTTTGCAACCCAGCATGGTACTGCAGTAGAAGTATCACATCTAAAACAAAATAATAACCCAAGCCCCCTTGTACTAAGAGGAAGTTCCTACTGTCTTGGAGGAATGTGGTAGGAGGTTAGAAGATGCTATAACTAAGGTTATGTATGTAGCTTTATTAGCCCTATTTAAGGTTTCCTTTAATTCAGTCCCTTATGCATATGAATTGGAGTTCGGGCTTCAGTGCCTTTTTTTTATGACATGCTCAAGTAGGGACGAGTTCAAGGAAGAGAGAGTCTGGAGAATTTAGCTACGAGACAACAAGAAGTCTTTATTTGGCCTGTACAAACTGATTTTTAGGACATTTATAATCCATTTTAAGAGAGATTTGCATGTTGGTAAGAGGTCTATCTACAGCACATTCAAAGCTGTTAATAAAAAATGCACTCTGTGAATACTGTACGTATTCCTAGCATGCTGTCCAAATTGGACTTTTCAATTAAAATCTTGTTTGTTGACATGGCATCTAGCACCTCCTCATTCAGTTTTGAATTTGTTGCACCTTTTTCAGTACTGTTTTGCAAATAAGAGATTAAAAGATCTTTCTATAGAACTTTGTCTTAAAGAAGTTTAATATTGTGAATGCAAGCAGCATTAAAATTAAATGCAAATTTGTTGATGTGATGTTTATTGACTGATTTTACTTCTGTAGCGTTGGGAACTTTGGCGAGAGCTTGCTATTTTTTTGGAAAAATAAATATATTTTTCAATTTCTTTTCTATAGGAGATTCCTTTGCACAGTTCCGATTTGCTGATGAGAAGGAGTGGGATAAGGAAAGCATATGCCATAAGCAGGTAACAGAATTATCATTCAAATGAGTTTGTATGGATAATTGCCTGGCACAGAATACCTAGGCAGTTGTGCTTTCAGCAACAAATTGTTTAATACAATAATAGCACTCTTTATTCTGTATTTTTTTATTAATTTGTCTCTGATGCTGGAGGCTTTTCGGTCTTGTCCTTTTTTTCTATTGAAGACTAATTGCAGCAGCAGGCTAGGTTTTTAAGTATGTTGGAAGAAAAGAACGAGCAAATCCATCCAGTGAACGGAAGATACAGGACTGTCACTGCTTTACTGACATATCAGGTCCTTTTTCAGCTGTATTCAAGAGAAAATAGTTTAGTAAAATTACTACAACAAAACCTATATAAGTATATTCATAGATTTGACTATGGAGCTTGTTTTAGTTCTTTCAAATTAACAGTTCATATCCTGTGGTTGAAACTTCACCTCCAAAATTACTATGGAACCAACTAGGTTTTAGATTATTTGTATGTGGATTCTTTATGCTGCAATGAAAAGGGACAAAGCAATAGGAGTCTGCTGTTTTCTATATTAGTGTCAATCTCGGCAGCTGTCTTCCTCATGTAAGTCACCTGATATTGCCAGATAAATGCTTTTGTCTTCCAAGCTTTTCTAAAATTGCTGCAAAACTGTGCTTGAGTGTTTCTTGAAACATACGTATGTATTCAATTTTTTAAAGTTTGCTATTTTTTTCCTAAAATATTAACAATAATTATTCCCTGGGAAGTGATATTTAAAGGTACATTAAAGTTGCAAAGTGAAATTAAAATGTGGAAATAAAACCAAGTGCAGCATTTGTTTGAACCATCATATGTTTGTTCAGGGGGAAACAGTCTTTCAATGACTGTGTATTTTTTTCTTACCAGCTCCTCCCGCTGCTAGTGTGCAGGATGTCAGTATCCAGAATATTAATTTCTTTGATTTCCTCATAGGCTTGTCATTATAGCATTTAGGCGATTTGAACACATTAATTAATATTTGAATGGCTAAAGCCATTGTGAGCAGAGTGAAGTTGCACATTGCCAGTGGATTTCGCAAATTCTTCAGGCTGCCAGCGATGAGACTGCACAGTTCTAGAGCCGGTCCCACGCTCTCACTCATTGTGAAGCGTGCTCTGGTGGGCATGTTCTTCCGCCTCTGTCCCTACCAAACTGTAGTCATTCGTCCTGCCCCAGCCAAATTCATTGTTTCAAACAGTTTCCTGTCTTTCACTATTCTTATGTCAGTTTGAAATAGTTTACTGCACTAGTCACCATTACCCTTCCTTTGATTTCTTATTTTAGTCCAGAATCCTGGCCCAGATGGTTTCATAGCATTATCTAATTTTTCACATTGTCTCTGGTCTGCAGCCTGTTATCTCCTTTTTTGCTTCTGGCCCATCTTTCTTTTCCCTGAAAACTGGATCCAGGTCTAATTTTCATCCTAGATCACTTTCCCAAATTCCTTGCCTTTGCCTCTTAGCTCACCTGTTTCTCATTCTTTGCCTGTCTATACATTATGTACAAGATTAGAGAATTGTAAACTGAAGTGAAATGATTATGATGGAACAAAATACAGCAGAAAAGGCATAAAAATAGTTGCAGAATGACTAGATATTTCCCATTCCCTATTATTTGTAGAAAGCAATGGCAAAGCATCAGTTTCAAATGTGGAATGGAAATCTAACAGTGACATCAACAATAATGAATTTTGAGTTTATTATTACAATTCATTGTTACAAAAAGTAGATCTGGATTTGCTTTATTGTATATTGATATAATGCAATAAAAATGTTTAATAAAAATGTCTGCAATTTAAAAATCAAACAGGTAATAGTAATTTGGATTTTTCAGTAAAAAATGGCAATTCCAGCAAGGTATGCCTCTACTTATTTTCTTGAACAAATGAAGTGTTTAGAATTTATTAAATACTGCTTTGATCCTTTTGTGGGGTTTTTTTTTTTTTTTAATTGAAACACACTTTAGTGAAATCTCTACTTGGATATTGAATTCCTTCTATTATGTTACTTCTCAAAATTCCTTTTTTCCTTCATTCTCAGCCTTTCCTCCTCTTCCCTGTCTCCATTTTCACCTTCATTTGCAATGTCCATTTGCATTAATCTTTTTGCAACTGTGCTTAGTTCTTCCAAAATGCACTTAAATATTATTGAATGATACTTTTTACAATTTTTTATGTTACCTGATTCATACAATTTCCTTGTCCTTTGCAAATGTGCAGAAGCCATATTTGATCTTCAATCTGTCAAAAGAACTGGGTTTTCTGAAGTTCAGTGTTGGGCAACAGGAATTGCTTGCTGAAGACTTTTTGAGGTTACTTGTACCAGTGACTCATCTTTGATGGTGATCACTAATCCATTGTAAAATAAAGTTGTTAGTAAAGAAAAAAAATTCTAACCATCAGATATTTGTTTGGTCCTTTTACTCTCATTAGTGGATACCAGACCCAGAATTTGGATACAAGAAACTGTTAAACCAATTGCATTGTTTCTTTTTTATTTTAATTCTGTAAATACACTATTGGAACACACTATATCTTTAATGTTCATTCTTGCTGTGTGTGCAGGTGTCCAAAGCTATCCTGTTGACTGGCTTTTGGGAGCAGTGTGAATTCCTTTCACAAATCTCTTATGATATGGCACAAAACACTCTCCTAATTTATGAGTATTTGGACCTCTAAATGTCTGTGCCAGTCTATACCATATTGAGAGGGTCAAATTATTATCTCTTTAAGCTTTATTTAGAAGCAGCTTCTCTGCTTCCATGAAAATGAGAGTATAGACTGAACTTAAGTATTTTGTTGTCAGATTTTAAAAGGATATCAAATTATCTTTTTCATCGATGGTGAATGTGCTCAGAATGTTCTGCTGTACTGTGAGCTCGAAATCTATTTAAGTCTACCAAAGTCCAGGGTGATCTGTAAAAACATCAAATATCGCTGGTCCATTTTGTGTAAATTTGTTTTTAATAGTTTACAGCCAAAAAAAGGGGGTCAAGAGAAAAGGAAACTTCAGTACCTGTCACGTTAGTAAGTGACCGTTCCACCTTTTAAGCAACTAGGCAGCAGTAGAGTATCTTTAATATCTTGGATATCATTTTGGAAGTGTATGTAACTATAGTTTGTTGCTTTTGTAAGCATCAGAAAGATGCTTACATCTTTTTAAAGATGTAAACATTTTAAAAGATGGGGAAGTATAAAAAGGGCCATGTTGTTTAGGCAGTGAAAACAGTAGAGCTACACACAAACTACGTGGTTTGATTGCTTAGAAAATAGTAGCAACTCACTAAAGAATGGCAATTCTCACTGCATAGAAAGCTTCACAGATCAAAAGATGTTTGAGTTGGAAAAGCCTCTTATGACATTGTCAACTTGCAGAACTATTTCCTAGTTTGGATTTTCAAGGCATTGCCTAAGGAACATTCCAGTTATACCTTGTTTGTAAACCTTTAAGTGATTATTTGCATTCTAGGTGTTTATATGGTGATTTAGTCAAACTCCTTTGTACATGTGTAATTTAAAACTATGAATTCCTGTATTTCATTAGATTGTTCTTCACATTCCTTGAATGTGTGGAACAGGGGAATGAACTAGATTAAAGTCATTATTAGTTTATATTTTTTTTTAATACAAGCATACTCTGTGTTGAATTGTATTTCAGTTATCTGCACTTTCTGTTGACTGCCAGTCTTTGGTCCAGGCCCTTCAGGAATTGCCTCTACATCTGAGGTTGAATGTAGCTGCTGAACTTGTGCAGGTAATGCTGTGAATTTTCACAAGAAAATGCAAATATTTGAAGTGAAACATTCTATGCAAGACCGATTACTTTAAACTTGGTCTTCAAACATCAGTAGAATGTATTTTATAAGTAAATACATTTCTTGAGACTGGCACGTCAATTGGCATGTAAGTGCTCTATCAGCACTTTTTATGCTTTGTTGGCTTTAAACAAAATGCTTCGATGTGCAGCACATTAGATTTGAAGCCAGGTATTGGAGTGTTTGACATGAAATGATTGCACTGGTTTTGTATTTGCTTCTCTTGTCAGCAGTTGTTAAAAGCTTGCACCAAAATTTTGAAAGTGCTTTCACATTCTTTCCTATTACTGTTTTGTGATTTCCTCTTCTACATAGCTAATATCAACACACGTTTATTCCATGAGTCAAACTTACATCTGTGTTAGAACAGGTAGAACTAGAACTGCCAATAAGAAGGTGAAGAAAATGTAATTTATGCTCTGGTGAAAAGAAAAAAAAAGCAACAGAGTATTAGGTAAAAATGTTTTTTCAGGCTGTGAGAAAGAAAATACTCATGTAAGGGCAAAAGAACTAATGAGACTTAAAAATAAAACCAAAATTCTTTAAAAAAAAAAAAAATCCATCTGCTCAAGCAAGGAAAAAGAAACATGACCCTTACAGAAGAAATTTTACTGGTTTGGAGTTAATGAAGTGCTTCTGTGACTGACACAACTGCGCCTTCTTAAGGGACCTCAAATATGTCTGCAGATGTGGTGTCTTAGGGAATCTGCAAATAAATGTTACGTTCAAATACAGTTTTCTTTCTTAAGAGTTCTAGTCACGGTCTTTAACTTTTATCGGGGTTATAAAGTGTGTGTTATGACACTTAATCTTTGCCTTGTCATTCTGACCGTTGATGTGGTCATCACATATGCTGCAGTGTTATTAATGCCAGGGCATCCTGATAAAAGCAGAATCTGTGTTCAACGATTAAATAATGAATTGCCATTTCTTGTTTCACTATTTGATAGTGTTTTGTAATTTGGTTTCATTTTTCAAAATATACAGCTATATACTATAACGTTTGCTACATGATTTTCAGCGATCTGTTGCATGGTTTGCTTTCAAGACTGGAATTTGGAGGGAAGGCCTAACATGGGATAATGTTTCTAGCTAAATTCTGACTTCAGTCATTCCAAAATTCAGAGTATTGATGGGATTTCATGACAGAAGAATTAAAGAAAAGTAACCCTGCAGGAAGTATTTGGGAAACAATGGAACTTGCTGGTTTAGCATACAATCTCCTATTCCGTAATAAGGGATAAAAGGAGTTTGTATTTTGTAGTTGCTTCTGTAAAAGTATCAAGATAACTTTAGTTTACTTTTACTTCTGAACTAAATTCTGCTGAAATTCACTGTACCTTCTTAAGTGATCAAATGTAGGAAGCTTGAATTACAATCGAAATTACACAGAATAGTAAAAATGGAGTTAATCATTAGAAAGACTCAAGTCCTTTCTTGTACTCTTAGGCATCAACGCCTGTAGAGCTCCCACAGATGAAATCTAAAATTGAAGATGGCAAGAGGAGAGAGCTTCTGTTCCGACAGTCTCTGGCTCAAAGTGAGACGGTGTTGGTCTCCCATCCCGTTGGTGATTCTGTTGCTCCATCAGAGCCTGGAAGAAAAAATGGTCCTAGGGCAAGTGCAGCAGAACCATTTCAGAGAGCCCATCCACTATCAAAGCAAGAGACTGACCATTTGGATGAAGAACTAGATCTTCTCCTAAATCTAGATGCTCCTGTTGATACAGAAAACAGACCTGTGTCAGGTGCATTATCCTACAACACATCAACTGAGAAAGATTTGAAAATGGATTGTAAGGAAAATGGTAAGATTTCTCTTCTCCCCAGCATGCCCTTATTTAATTTCCGTTCTCTCTGTTTTGGTGATGTTTTTGAACTCTTGATTAGCCAGTCAATGGTACTGCTGTCATCACATCTATCATACTGCATTTCATTTATCTGGGGCTACATTCTGATCCATTTGTTCCTTTTCAATTTTAACTCCCCGCTGAACTAAATTTTCACCGTTGTCAGTTCATTTTAAGCATTAAGAGAAATTCTTCTGCATTGGTCTTATGATTCAGCAAAATTTTAAATTTAAAAAAAATTCATGCAGGCTAGAGAACTTGAGCGAGAAGATAAAATAAAGTTTTTAATGTAACATTATCAGCCCTTTGTTCACTGTGCTAATAGTATACAGAAGAATTGACAGCTGGTTTTGATGCCTTGTTATAAATGCTATTTTCAAACTTTACTAGCATGAATTTTACAAAATTTAGTATGGAAACAAAACATATACAAAAATTTTCATATTTCAGAAAAATTGGCAAACCCTTCCTATTGATGCATTCCTAGAAGTTATACTACTGTTTGTTAGTTTTGATGGAGATGGGTTGCTACTCCTCCCCAGTCCACAATGCTATAAAAGAATTTTTAGCATCTCTGATTTTTTGTGTATGATTTTCTTGCTGTCTTAAAAATTCCGTCCAGGGTGGTCGAACACGTAAAATGTCACCACAAGCAATACGGTAAGCCTTGTTACAGAAGACAATCTTGAAATGCTCTTTCATTTCAGTGCTATGTCATGCCTTCCACTCCAAAGCACAGTGCGAATCCCTTAAGAAAAGAACACCATCAGAATGTGGAATCATATCATGCTGTCATAATCATGCAGGGTGATCTGCTGTTGTGGCCTCCTGCTCCTCTCCTGCGTTAAACCCTGCATCAGACAGGACTGCCAACAGATCGCAGTAGGGGGATCGCTTGCAATGTCTGCTGTAGAACAGGCCCTGCCCCCCTTGAATCAGGTGGAAGCCACATTGCTCTGGTTGAGCATATTAAGCTGCCTCATTTTTTTTTAATTCTTGCTACTATTTTTGGAGTGTGACGCACTATTCCTCAAGAAAGAGAGATTGTGTTTAATGGAGTCAGTTGTGCATTCAAAAGCAAAATGATCTGAGACAAAACGCTGGTATGGAATTGTTTCCAGATTTTTCAAGTCTGTTCTTTTTACTTTTTAGACCCTTTAAAACTAGATATACCTGAAGAGAAGAGTACAGCATCACAGCAACAGCAAAGTACATCTAAAAATGTTACTGAGGAAGAGCTTGAAGATTGGCTGGACAGCATGATTTCCTGAAGTTCAAATTTGCTTATGTATGTGAATAATTGAATATAGCAAACATTAAGTAGAAAGTTGAATCTTCCTTTCTCTCCTTGTTATTTCCTTTATCTGTTTCACTTTGTTCAGTATGCCAAACGCCTGGTTTTCTTTGCTGGCACCTAAAATTCTGTGCAACCAAAATTTGTTTAGATGTGATTGAAAATTGTCTAAGACTAATATTCTTAGGTCTAAAATTTGTGATGAAATTAGGATTTTCTTTGCTAAAGATGCAGGCTGCAGCACACTATGAGAACAATTATTTCAGCTTGTACTTGCTCTATGTAGTCCTTAAAATAAAGCTATGAATGACCACTGAATACACGTGTTTTCAGTCACCATCCTCATGCCACATCTCCATATTGTAGAAAAATGAGAAAGAAGACAGCAAAGATAAATATTTGGTTTCTAATACTTTATTGCAGTGGGCACTTTTTATTAGAAGAAAAAAAAAAGCATAATCCTAGCAGCTTCTACTTGCAGGTGACCATAGAGCATTGTTTTATTTTGGCCTAAGATTCAAATTGTATTCATTTTGATACAGTCTTTTAACAGCAGCATCTAATAAGCTGTTATTGAAGGTAGTATATAAACAAACTTCAAGTGCAATTTCATACAGAAAGACAGAAAAGCAATACAGTTAATGGATCTGTTCATCTAGAACACTAACATAAATAAAAAGTTTGCATAGCTATGTCTGCAGAGGTTTTAAGGCACTTAATGTTTCAAGGTCGACGAAGTGTTTGAAAATGTTTTCGTTTTAACTGCTTAAAGCTTTTCAAGCTGTATCTGCATACATTCACTAGCAAATGCTGGGGAGAAAAACTGGACAGCAGTTAGTAAAAATATTTTTTCTGAGGCATGGCCTCTGATGTTCAAGTTCTTGAATGTCAAATGTTGTGCAATTAAGACACCTTTTAGCCCTTTCAACTGTACTGCCAAACGCTAGGTTAATGATGTGGTTAAAAAGTTGTTATTATTTCAGACCATGTTTGAACTGGAAGGCTTCAGTTAATCTGGCATACTTTTTTCTAATTGAAATTCCAACAAAAGACTTGTTTCATATGTGGTAGGTACAAAAAGTCTGTGAAATAGTGTCGAAGTCTATGTATGTCTTGAAGTTTAAAGACATTTAAAGCAAATACAAGCTACAAAATTACACCATGAAAAGAAAAGAAATGCTTTTGTATACCGGATCTTAACAGTTCATGAACAAATAATTTCTTTTTGGTGATTTTAGCCCAGCTGATCCTCATACTGTTTCCGGAAGCAGTCCCCTGCTGGGAAAAAATCCCAACATCTTTCTTGGTACATCTTCCACACAAATGACTCCTGAAAATGATAAAGAGTATTTATTTTAACAGACACCTTGCAGTTTGTGCTCTAGATAAACTTTTAACAATAACCACGTACTGTGTCTATTACCACAGAGTAGAACTGTGAAGACGTTGAAAGTCAAAGATTGTAACTCAAGAACATTTGTAAAAGTATTGTTCTGCACTTTCCTTGAGTCAGTACTATGAAATTTAAGCATGTAAGTGTAAATTAATCAGTCTAGTGATATCAGAGCAAACCTGTACACAATCTGTATGTATAAAATGCGTTTTAGTTTGCTTGAAAAACATTGAAGTGTAAGGTACTTTTGTAGTGTTTGCATAACAGCTTCTTATTTCAGATAAGATATAATTAAATCCTATTTATTTACATTTAGGGCCTAACAACACTAAACATACATACACACGTCCATATACCTATCTATAGACATGTAGAGATGGATTTGCACTATAAATATAGTAGCTTAACTACTTAACCTTTTGGGAATAAACTACAACTGGTATATTTCAGGGTTTAATTTCAGAGATAAGATGACAGTAAGATTAGTAGTAAGTGACTTCTGACAGAGTTCAGTGCTGGGTAGAATAGCGCACTGCTGCAGCCCACCCCCTCCTGGTTTTTTAACCCTTTTCTTTCACTCCCAGAAGCCTCTCAGGGAGGGTGGCATCATCTCCACTCCTCGGTTGGTACATCAGTTCCACCTGGTGGTACACAGCTACAAGGCTGAGGAGATAAAAACATTAAAAGGTAATCTTAATGAAAAAATATTACGTTTTATTTTCTACTCACCTGGCCAGTATGCTCAGTTTCATCCTTGTTAATGAGATACATTAAAAAGAACCTGGAAACAAGCACGTGAAGCAGGCATTAATGCAGAAAACATAACATCTCTGCCTAACCTTTCCTAGACTGAAGAGAGATTATGCCAACCAGCAAAGTAATGATATTACTAGGCATCTAAAGTTAAGGGAGAAAATTCTATCCTCCAGCACTTCTCCTGCGGAAGTGCTAACTGATGTAAAAATCTGTAGAAGTGGAAGAACATGGTTTAGAGCAATACCTGAATTAGGCATATGCCAACTCCTGTAGACATATACTCCAACATCTTCCCTTGGAAGAACTTACTGTGGCTACTATGCAGGAAGTTAGAAGTGTGGAAAATACTCGGCTGCGCCAAGATTTCCAAACGCTCATGCCATACAGCTCATAAGGAGAGCCTAACTAGCTCAGATAGCTGTGCTCACTCAAATGGAGAGAACTTCAACTAATTAGGAAGGCTGTAGAGTACTAACAATGGTCTGCTTATATGTAACACAGCTCTTGGGTAGCCACTCCTGATGCAGTGCATTTGGAATTAAACTTGGTATGTGCTTTCATTGTGAAGAAAGGAATGTATACTGACTTTAACATTTGTCTAATTAAAGGGCAACCTGGTTAGAAAGCTTGTTCACTATATGTTCTAATATTAAGGAAATGGCCATTTTTAATTTTCTGTGAATTACAGGTTCCCATACACCACTTAAGCAATTCAATATAGTAAGAAAAGCTTGGAGGTTGTAGACTGGTAAACCTATGGCCATTAATGGAAGTTTGCCTCACAAAAGTAATGTGCACTGATTTTGCAGTGTCAGTTGCTATGCAAGGAATAATGCAGCCTCCACTCCAGGAGGCGCACTTCTTTTTTTTTTTTTTTTTTTTTTTAAATTTAAAAAGTTCAGATGCAGTATTCCAAAGCCAGACTTCTATAAGATACCACCAGGTCAGCTCCTTTGGTTCTGCTAGCACAGTGCTCATATAATTATCATTGTTGTATGAGTAACTAATGCCACCAAATTAACTTTTTAAATATCCGCTTTGATCTGCTCTGTATTTACTAATGAAAGTGGAAGATCACTGTCCTGGGTGTCTGGCCAACAGTCTAAACACGTACAATTCCTGATTGCTTCGAGGTTTCGGAAAGCTGCACTGTCACTAAAGAACTACAGGATCAGACTTGTACATTATTTTTTGTAGCTTATCTTTCAGGAATCTTCCAGAAATGCTTTTGCTTGCTTGTTTGTTTTGATGTTTGGGTTTTCTTTTTGTCAAATTGAGGCTAATTTTCAATGGTCTCATCAATGTTACCAAGCCCCCAGAAGTCACAATCAAAACTTCCAAACTAAAGCAACTTATTAAACTGTTGTTCCCTAGTATTCTGCGCATCTGGGTTTCCTTCCAGAGGAATAAGGAGTTGGTGTGACTTCAGGTGTCATCCCACTAAGGTAGCTCATGTGTAAGGTGAGCACTTTAATCAGCAGCGTGGAGTAGAGGAGGAGAGACTGGAAAGGAATGGAGATATTCCTCAGTTCTACAGAATTCTGTCTTAGGATTGTCAGCAATGTGTGCACCTAAATTACTCTGGAGCTGAAAGGTCTCTTTATCGTAATTCCAGTAGTAAAATATACTTACAGATAGTTTGCCAAGTTGTGTTCTTGCAAAGTATGTGTTTCAAAGCCATGTGGGGTTGTGTCAAAATAGTCATTGCCGATTCCACAAATAAAACATTTGGTCTGGAAACACAAGTTGTGGTTACAAATGAATTTTAACTCAAAGATACTGTTTTAACTGGTAACAATCTGGATTAATAAGAGTAATGAAAAATGCGGTGTGCTTACTATACCTCCATATCTTCTCTCACTTGTTCTTGCTGGTCTCTTAATTCACCAAAAGCATCAATAATCAGACCTATTTCAAATGGAAAAGTAGCAACATTTCAGTACTTAGCAATATTCGTATTTCAAGCAATGTCTGTTAGATATCCTCCACTGCTTTTGGAGTTTAGTGTACTTATGTCTAGGTTGAACAATTCAAGTTACAGTCTGAATTTCCAGACATCCAATACTGGTTTACACTGCGCTGCTAGCCGTAAGAATTTCTTTTACGTTGAAGTCCATCTTGAGAGTAGAAAGGCTTTTCTGTACTTACACTTTGGTCAATTTAAGCTTCCATAATCTCATCTCTTTTGTTTCAGTGAAAGAATTTAATTTTCATTCTCCTTCTCATGACACTCTTGTATCCCAACTTTTGTTCAACAAATACGACTCTGCTCCCACAGGCCCCCCGGCCAGTTTGTGGTGCTGCTTCACATTTGAAGCATTATTCCTCCACTTCCAACATATTAAGAATAGAGTTGGATCATTCTGGGGACTGTGACACTCATAACTTTTTCTCAGTATGGATATATTACATCTTTTTTCTTTGCCACCAGATTGCCCTAAATGGTGTTTTTTTCCTAACAACCTTAGGTCTGTTTATACAATGAGTGTTGACTACTGACAGTCACTGAAGAGAGGTCTCATTCTCTGTAAACCACAACTACAAACCAATTAAAACTGCAAATCATCCTCTGAAGAAAGGAGGAAATGGGTATATGGCCATGGTGACTTTCTCCATGTCGTTTCCCCTTTCTGAGGGGAAAGTCTCCATTCCCCAGCCAGCTGTGGTGGTTCCAAACCAAAGATGTGAAGAGTGTCTACAGTAAGGCTCTCCAAGTTTAAATGGTTATTACAGGAAGAACAGTGATCCTACACCAGCTGCATCATTGCTAGATAGTTGTCAAAGTGTTCATAAACACTGTAACCTAGGTACGTTATGTTTCTTGTGCTTTGTCTTTGTGTAGTACTTGGGATGATGCATTATTTATGAATTAAGTATAAAATTACTACTTTCAGAATTAATGATTTTATCAGCTCAGAAATAAGTCTTTATAGCAATACTGCTAAATTTACCTGAAACACAAATAT